TGGTTTTTCGAGATAGGGTTTCTCTGTGTAGCTTTGGAGCCTATCCTGGCACTTGTTCTGGAGACCAGGCTGGCCTCGAACTCACAGAGATCTGCCTGCCTCTGCCTCCTTAGTGCTGGGATTGAAGGCGCGCGCGCGCGCGCGCTCGCGCCTATTTTTTGTTTTTCAAGACAGGATTTCTCGGTGTAGCCTTGGCTGTTCTGAAACTCACTCTGTGAGTTTCAGGCTGGCCTCAAATTAACAGAGATCCACCTAGCTAGAAGAGGAAGTGACCAGAAATGACAGCCATTTCCATCCAAACCCATCTTGGCAGCTGAGGCACTGCCTCCATCCACAGGTTGGGGGGCGGGGTCTGTGCACTTGAGTTTTCAGGGCAATAGATGTCCTGAAGCTGGAGTTAAGGCTCTCAGGAGCCACTCAGCTGCGGGAGCTGGGAATCAAGTACAGGTCCCTCTACAAGAACAAGAAGGGCTCTTAACTAACAACCCAGACTGTCATTAGCTGTCATTATTTATTTCGGAGTCCTGCTTGTTGCAGAGGATAGCCCCAAACTCCTGGGTGTGAGACATACTGCAGCTTCCCCATTCCCTAAGTGCTGGAACAATATATATATATATATATCACCACACCTAGCCTATTTTATAATTTTGTGTTATTTATTATTTACTTAGGTTGTTTGCGGGTCAGGGGCTCATGTAGCCCAGGCTGGCCTCAAACTCATTATATAACCAAGTATGACCTTATACTCCTAATCCTTTAGCCTCCACCTCCCAAGTACTGGGATTCCAGTCATGTGCCACCACACCCAGCACTCAGTTAAAATAAAATAAAATAAAAACATCAGTGCATACATGCCTTCACCTTGTGACTCCAATTCTAGAATTTTACTTCACAGCCCATCAGCCCTGTGCCATGTGAGCAGATGCCCCATGGGTGGGAAGAGACCAGCAGGGGCACTTACTGTCCTGTCCCCTTCCATCATAGCACCTACCATAGCCCTCCTCTTGCAGCTACTGCCTCAGTTTTTCCTAAGGAGTCCCAGCCCTGAAGGTGCTGAAACAGGGCCCTCTACTCCCAGCAGGAAAGAGTCCCACAGTCTCAGCAGGCAGGGTGCCCTGTGATGGCTGAGTTCACTGTAAGCAAATAAATGGCTCTGCAGCCCAAGCAGATACCCTCGTGCAGGACACGTGGACACTGAGATCTGCCTGTGCTCTCTCTCTCCGAGTTTACATTAAACCGGCTGCCCTCTGAATTGGAGAAGCTGAACAAACATGGCATGTGCGAGAAAATGGCCCACAACAGTAAAATGAGACAAGGTATTTTTATGAATTTATATGATATTTCCAAATGCTGCTGCTGAGTGACAAGTGAGAAGGGGGGCTCCATTATGAGATTGTTTGTGTCATTAGACATGAAGGAACACGCAGCTTTGCATTCGCAGGTGCATGGACCCAGGCAGAGGACCAGGATGCCACCGGCCCTCTACAGTGACAATACAGCACCCCTCACAGACCATGCAATGACTTTGCCAATACAGTGTCAGCAAAGGCAACAGGGTCTCAGGAACATAGGGACCGTGGGTGCATCCCTGGCAGTTATCTAAGGTGATGTGATTGTCCAGGATGCAAGGCCAGGAGCTGGATGGAGTGACCTGTGTCCCAGTCAGCTCCCTCACATGCAAAAGTGTACAAAGATGGCACTCAGGACCCGCCCAACACAGAACCACCAGGAAGGGGGTGTGCACTTACATCTCTGGACCCATGGGGCAGTGCCCAAGAGAAGGGAGCAGTACAGGAGAACCCAGGCAGATGGAGCAGCAGTGCCAGGCCAGATGTGGAAGCCAGTGTGTGGCTAGAATAGAGACCAAGGGAAAGAGACAGGAGAACAAAGGCTGGGAAGCCAAAGCCACAGGCCCCTACTGTGATGGTGTTACAACATTCATTCCCTCTGAGTGGAAGACGCATGGGGGAGCTACAGACAGGAGTGAGCTGAGTGTTTCACCTATGGGAGGAGGGAGGGAGGCAGGGAGGGATGGATGGATGGTCAGTGTGGAGATGAGTGAGAAGATGGGTGGGTGGGTGGGTAGATGAGTGGGTGGGTAGGGAGGTAATTAGATGAGTCAGTGAGTAGTTAGGTAGATGAATGGATAGACAAACAGATGCTTGTTGGACTGGTAAGTGGGTGGGTGAGCAGGTAAGTGGGTAGCTGACGGACAGCTTGTCAGTTCACGGATAGAAAAGAGCAACAGACAGACAATATGGACTCTTTCAGGCATGTCTCACTATGGGCTACATAAGAGAGCATCAGCCAGGTTCCCTCATCTTGTTCCCACAACCCTCATTCCTAGCCCTTGTCTCTGTTGGTGTCACTACCCCAGGCCCTCCTGGGGGAGGAGGGAGCTGATGACTCATGGGTAAAGTTACTGCCACACAAGCATGAGGACCTGAGTTCAGATCCCCAGCACTCACATAAAAAGCAGGGCATTGTGGTATACATTGATAATCCCACTAGTGGAGACACAGAGAGACAGAGAGACAGAATTCCTGGGACTCGCTTGCTGGCAAGCCTTGCCCAACTGGTGGGCTATGAGCCAGTGAGAACACAAGTGCACATGTGCGTAACACTTACACACAGGCAAACACACACACAAACACGCTAAGGGGAGGAGGGATGTGCCACAGAGGGCGGAGCAAGCAACTACATGACACAGTCACCATCAGCTGTCATGCCTCAGGACACAAATGTGCAAGGGCCCCAGTCCTCCATGTGGCTCTGAAGCCACGTAGCCCTGTTCTGGCTGGTCAGACAGGAAAAGCACCATGAAGATGGCCTGCAGGAGAGAAAGCCCTTTCTCTAAGACCACAGCCACCAGGAGAAGAGCTGGCCAGGGACAGCCAAGACCCTGAGGATGAAGAATGGGTCTCCAGGGACAACCTGACAATTTCCACAAGGATGGGGCTTACAAATACTTCCATCCACATTCTAGAGCCCAAAGACCAAGACCCTTTAGCTGGGGCTGAGCTGCAAGGAGCCTTCCTGCCTCTCCCAGGCTTCTAAGTGGCCACACCCTCGCAGTCCTTTGGTTGGTGGCTACACTACTCACTCTGCCTGAACTATCACAGCCTCCTTCCCCATGTCTTCCCGTGGTATTTCTAAAGACAGCAGTCACCAGATTTGGGACTTAGCCTTCCCTAGCCCAAACCCATCTCCACTGACTATGTCTGCAGAGACGCTATGCCCAAGTATAGCTGAATTCTGGGGTACCAAGTGGGCATGAATTTGGAGGGGCACCTTCACCCCAGTACAAATGCCCACAACTTGGGTGCTTGATGGAGCAGCTGGGTTAGCTAATGCAAGCTGCCCACCCGGAGTCTCTGTCTTCTGACACACTCCTCCTCCAGGTTGGAGCCACTGAACCAGGTTGGTAGTGCAGTACAATGGCACCTCCACATTTGGTAAAGTCTCAGGCAGCCCTTCTGCTTCACTGGATTCTGCAGCTCGGAAACTTCCCTGTATGGTGACACTGGTCTCAGGATAAATCTAGATAGCCGGGCTTTGGTCTGAGCTCATTCACAGGGTCCCTTCTACCACAGGCTGTGGTCATAGGGACCCAACTCAAGGATCATCAGTCTGCTGGCCACAGAGCCATGTGAGAGGACAGAGTGGATGTTGACTACTGCAGGCACAGCCTCTTACTGACACTGACAGAGCAACCTTGGTTCCAATCCCATGTGCCTCAGTTTCCCTATCCGTAAGTAAGGATGGTGATCCTCTCTCCGGTGCAAGAGTCCCGCTCAGACAGATCCTTGTGATCATCTCCCTGTGTGGCATGGCTATTCTTTGCTCTGACTTTCCCACTGTGACCCAGGAGGCCAACCTGGCTTCCCATACACTGTTCAGGCTCAGCCTGGGGAGCAGATAAGTGCCTTAGCTGCTTCACCCCACATACCTTTCTGCCCTGTCCATTCCTGACATGGACACCACTGTCATAACCACCAGTCACCCAGGTCTAAGTCACTGTCATCTCTCCCTACTCCTCTTAGGTCTCCCTTGAATCCCTGTAGCACCCCTATGTGTCCCCTGATACTGTTCTGACAATGCCCCTGAAAAGATCCTTTGGAAGTTCCAAGCTCCGTCTTATCCAAGTCTTCCACTGCTACTAGAAAATTCCAGACTTGCTCCCTGCCACAGGGCCTTTGCACTGGTTGTGTCCTGTCAGAAATGTTTATGTTGTTTTCTGCCGGGGGGAGTGGGGGAGTCACAATTTCAGGTCTCGGGACTTGAGAGATGTCTTCCAAACCACTATAACTGGAGAAGCTACAACTCCCGCCAATGTCACACGATTTTCCCATCCCTTCCCCATCAGGACCTGCAGTCTTCCCATGGGCTGTCTTCTTGTGTATTTATTATGTTTCTCCCACTTCAGTCAAAGACTTGGCAAGGTCCTCTACAAGGACACAGCCACAGAGCTGATCTAACCCCCACATGGCTTACACTCCAACATCTGGAGCCCCAACAATGACAGCATCTGAACTCTCAACGTGTATCCACCAGACAGGATAGGGCCCTAGAGGGACCCAGTGTGGGGCAGCTGAATGCAACATTGATGGGATGCTCTCACAGTGTGACACCAGAACCCAGCTGACACAAGAGAAGGGGGTTATAAGCCAGACCCAGAACATGGACACCATCCACAGAGGACACCAGAGGGAGATCCATACGGGGCCCAGGCACAACCACAACCAGGGATTCAGTGTCAAGGCTGAAGGGCAGGAGTGTTATCAGTTATCAGGGCTACTGCAACAAAGTACCACGGCTGAGGGACAGAATACAACAGGAAATGCATTATCACCATTCTGGAGGCCGGTTTGTGCTGAAGGCCCTGTCCCTCTGTGGCACCTCAGAGGGTCCGGTTCCTCTTCCGGCATCTCGGGGCTCCCAGGAATCTCAAGAGGTCCTTGGCTTGAGACTTATCTATTGTAACCACTAGCTCTTCTCTGAGCTGTCCAGTGTCTTATGACAGGGTCTCGAATAGCCCAGGCTAACCTCAAACTCACCCTCTAGCCAAGGATAGCCATGAATTCCTGATCCCCTGCCTCCACCTCGAGTACTGGGATGACAGGTATGAGCCACCATACCAGGTCCCACTTGTGTCTTTGCTTGGTTTTGTGGTCTCAGTCACTGTACAAGGATCCACCCCTGCTCCAGTGAAACCTCACCTCGATCCACAGCACCTACAACAAACTTACTTCCTTATTCTTTGTGTTTTTATTTTCTGTGTGTTTGATCATTTTGAGACAGCTCTGGAACTCACTACATAGACCAGGCTGGCCTCCAACTCATAGATTCTCCATCCTCCACTTCCCCAGTGCAGGGATTAAAGGCGTGGACCACCATACCCACCTTCTCTTTCTTTGGGTATGTAGCCCAGGCTGGCCTAAAACTCTCGACAATCCTCCTGCCTCAGTCTCCTCAATGCTGGGATTATAGGTGCGCTCCACCATTCTCAGCTGAACTCACTTTCAAAAACGTCCTATTTGTAGATCCCAAAGGCACACACATCTAGCATCCCAGTATCTGGGAAGTTGCTGAGGCAGGATGGCGGCCCCACAGTTGGAGACAAAATCCCATCCCTAAATCGCTACCCACCTCCCACCCATGCAGAAATAAAAGGGATAAACATAGCAAGGCCCGATTCACTTCATCAGTTCTAATGTCGAATCTGGAGCCCTGAGCCTTGAGTCCTGAGCGCAGGTTCCACCACACTCCATCCAAGGTCTTTGCGTACCCACTAGACCGCTGCAAAGTCGCCTTTCCCTGAGGCTCCGAGGGTGAGGGAGGGGGTCCTCTGCTCCCTGGTCCTCACCTTAAGGACTCTCACTCAACAGCAAGGGGGGCAGGTAGCCTGCCCCTGCTTGTGTCCTCTCCCCACCTGCTCCCTCTCCCCGCCCCTCCCCACGTGAAGCCCTGGGACCCCCGCCCCCAGCGCCTGCGGGTGGGGGCGGCCAAGAGGCACGCACTGGAGACAGGGGGTTCCAGATTGATGAGGGAGAGGTCACTTGGCTCTCGGGGTCCGGAGACCAAACTGAAGAGGTCCCCGACCCCGGCGTGCCGGGAGGAAGGGTGGACGCACTCACCCGCACGATGTAGGAGACCCCGGGCCCCAGGCCCCTGGCGTCGGGGTGCAGCCAGCCGTGCGCCGGCTTGTGGATGAAGCCGCCCTTGGGCGCCCACCCGTCGGCGACGTCGGGGGTCCCCCGCGTCCCCGAGCCCCGGCAGCGGCTGAGCGCGGGCAGAGGGCAGGGCGCGGCGCAGCGCGGTTCGCAAGCGCCCAGCACCGCTGCCAGCGCAGGGACCCCGGGTTCGGGCTGCGCATCTGCCGCCCCCGCCGCGCGCGCTGCCGCCGGACCGCGACCCAGGAAGCCGCCGGGTGACGCGAACTTCCATTGCGGCATGCGCGGCAGCAGCGCGCAGAAGGTGGTGGGCGCCTCGGGCTCCGGGGCCGCGCGGCCACCCGGACCCTGCGTCATGGACGCGGCCGCCGAGGAGCCCCGGCCGAGCCTGGCGCCGAGCCGCGCGCTCCTCCCCGCCGGGTGATGTCACCGCTACGCGCAGCGCGCAGCCGCGGGGGGCTGCGCTCCTGGGACCCCGGCCCTGCGCTCGAGGGGCTGCACCCGACCCCGCACGGTCTGCTGAGGCTCCCGTAGGGGCTGTCCAGTCACGCTCTGACCCGTGGAGAAACTAAGGCTAAGGGTCGCAGATGGGAGGCGGGGCGCGATCCTCCAATCTAGAAGTCCGCCTTCGGCCCCTCTCCAGTACAGTCCTTCCCTGCCTTCTTCTAAATGGAGAAACTGAGACCGAGGTAGCAGGTGTGAGGCGTCATTCTCCAACCCCGAGGTCCTCCCCCGTCACGATTCCAGCAACATCCTGCTCTTCTTCCCTTCTAAATTGGGAAACTGAGGCCTGGCTTTGTAGAGGCATCCTCCGGTCCCTGCGTGGCCCCTAAGCCACTGTTGGCAGCCAGACCGTGCTTTCTTCACTGAGTTGGGACACTGAAGCCGGGCAGGGCAGTAGCACAATGAGAAACTGAGGGCTAGGGAACGGAAAAGCACAGTAGGGGAATTGAGGTCGGGGTGGCAGAGGCAGGATTAGAGGGTCCCAGTAGACACTGTTCCAGCCATATCCTGCCCAACTTTACTTCTAAATAAGGCCTGGGGCAGGGCAGAGGTTGGGGTCCAGGACTAGAGAACCTCGAACTTAGAGGGTTCCCACTCGCACACTTCTCCACCTGGACTTTACCCTATTTTACTGTTTAGTGGGGAAACTGAGGCCTGGAAGTGAACCTAGTGCCCAGGACACAGCAGGTGGGGCTGCGCCTGGAAGGGTCTGAAAGTAGACACAGGCTGCCTCTACTGGCACCCATCCAATTAGAACCGAATGATCAGAACTCTCGGGCCTGCCACCAGTCCCATCCCAGGCTCAAGGGACTTCTGAGATGTCTCCTCAGACCCCAAGAAGATTCCTTCTGTGAGGGAAAGGGGTTGTCATTATCACCCTACCTCTGTCCCTCCCCTCCTCCCCCGGCCCTACCCAGGACAGTCCAGCCGGGAAACAAAGAGAAGAGGGCTGGGCGGGGCAGGGTGCGGAGGAGGGGCAAGGCCAGCCAGATCGATGATGAGAGAAACTAGATCACTGCCTGCGAAGGCCACACGCGCTTGCGCGAGGATGCTCAACACCATCAATACAGGCACACCACGGAGCCCTTGGTGCACTCAGATGAAGGCGCAATGTTGCTGGGCTGAGGTCTGAGAAAGGCACTGTGTCGAGTATGGACCATGGCATTCTGAATGTCCATCTATCTTATGTCTCCCCATTTGAATGGGGAGGTTATAGGGAGGGTTAACGCTACTCTTTTAATCTACAGTACAAACGACAGTAAATCATACTGTAATACTTTAAACTCCTACACATCCCTCAAAGCCCAGCTTCACAGTACCCCTTCCCAAGAACCTAGCTGGTCCCACAATCCAAATTCAGGCTCTTAACTGGCCTCCTGATGCCAGGATCTCCCATTTGCCCCATCTGAACTGAAAGAGGTTTGTGGATTTATGGGTCAGGCCTTGGAGGGCAATGTTTAGTGTTCATTTGTGGTGTAACTAGAAATGCTAGATAAACCAATGTGCACAATGCTGACAGCTGTTGGTGGAGGAATGATTTATTGGCAAGCAACTCTAGAGGGTGGGGCAGGGAAGGCAGAGGCATCAGGGCCACCTCCAGGAGAATTCTCCTGCCTCATCTGCAGAAACCCAAGTGGCCTAGACACTGAGTTCTGTCCAGCCAGGGGAAGAGACACTTCTCTCTGGCCTGGCCTGGCCTGGCCTGGCCTGGCCTGGCCTGACCTGGGAAAGGAAACTCGGGCCCAGGAGGGAGGCTCTCCCTGACCGCGGTTGGGGCCATGGGTCACAGGCCCCAGGGATAGAAAGATCAAGTGGCCTCAAAGGACCTCGGACTGTAGAGGGAGGCACCTCTTCTGCCCCATTCTGAAAAACTAGGCCCAGGAAGGTCCCCAGCTGCCTGCATCCAGCAGCCATCAGCATTTGGTGTCCCCTGCCATGGTTGATGCCCTCTTTGAGTGACGGATGCCCATGCTGTATGCTGGGGCCCGGGCCCGGTTCACGGTGACCTGTTCTGGGCTGTGAGTACCAGGACCAGGTGTCTCCTCTAGGGGCCGAGGGGTTCGGGGTCTCCCCAGTATGCTGAAGGCCGGCCTACGCTGCCGGTAGGTGTTAGGGTCAGGACTGTCATATTGCCCAGGGCCTGGAATCTCTGCGGGATCCTGAGGGGGGCGTGCTGGGGGCGTGCGACCCACAACTGTGTAGCTGGGGCTGCTAGGTTTAATAAAGATCTGTGATCCCCAGAGGGGTGGCATGGTGTAGGCATTGGGGGCAGGAACAGAAGTGTCAGGGGGCTTCTGTCGGAGGCGGGAGCCCAGAGTGAAAGCTGGGGGGTTCCGCTGGCGTACCGGGGGTGCCTTCTCTGGGCTGTAGGCCCCAGGGCCTGGTGTCACCTCCAGACCTGGAGAGTGAATGGGCATTGGGACAAGATGGAGGCCTACCTGACCTGCATGAGAGGTCACACAGACCCAGAGTCTGGCCCCAGCAGCATTTTTAACTCATGTATTCTTTGCCTGATACTCCCCTACTCAGCCCCAAGCCAGCAAAGGCTCCCACCACCACCTTCCTCCAACCACCCCACAGCGCAGCCATACACCTCCTGCCTCCCACACCCACCAGGTGGTGCCTTCTACCCCTCCAGAGCTCAAGGACACCTGGATCATCCTCTCTGAAGATCTGGGCACTCTGAGATGGACCTGTAGGTGGGCCTGAGCCCACCAGGAAGTTCATTAAAGATGTCTAAGCTGCTTCTTTTCTGTATTTGACTCAGCATGAGTGTGACTATAGAGCTAGGGTGGGCAGTGAGAGAAGGCTGAGCAGAGACACAGAGCACGGGGAGTGGGTGGAGTGGCTGCGTGGGAAGATGGATGGATGGATGGATGGATGGATGGATGGGTGGATGGGTGGGTTGATGGGTGGGTGGATGGACGAGTGGATGGATGGGTGGATGGATGAGTAGATTGGTGGGTGGGTGGACATAGAATGGATGGATGGGTGGGTGGACAAACAGATGGACAGACAGACGGATGGATGGATTGGATAACATGTGCAGAGAATAAAACCAAGTTTCTGAGCATTCCTCTGGGACCATGAAGGGGTCAGAGTTAGGCCTCCCTTCCCCATAGGAAACAGGGTCACCATGTACTGCCCCATCAGCTCAAGGCTGTGGGACTGGAGTAGTGACCCTTCATCTGACACTCAGATTTATCACTGCAAACACTGAAGTTCTCAGAGCTCCCATAGTGCAGGAAGTAGTAGACTATCTCCCAGGCCCTTTCCCACCACACTCACCACACTCACCTCGAATCCTGCCCCGGCCCTGCATGGAGTAGGCAGGGGGACAGCAACGGCCAAAGCGAGTAACTTTGGGATCCAAGAAGTAGACAGGTCCTGGGCTGGAATCCTGAAGAGGTGCTGAAGAAAGGACCCAGAGTCCCAAAAGTGCCCTGAGCTAAGGGCTCCCCATCCCCCGGCCTGGATCCCCCTGGAGCCTGAGGTCTATCTCCGGGAGTGGCTGAGTGGCTGAGTGGAAAGATGGGAAGAGCCAGGCTGAGCAGTGCTGAGGCCCCGAGGGATCAAGCAGAGACTGTGTGGGACATGCCAGTCCCAGAAGAGCCTTGGCTCACAGGGAGTCACCTTGAGTCACCCTTGAGATAGCTCAGCCTGCCTGACCCACATTCTCGAAGCAACATGAAAGAAAGAGATCACTGGGGCCACAGCTGGTCACCATTTTCACAGTTGTATATTTGGGAGCAGAACCCAGGCCCTCATAAATGGAAGTCTTGAGCTCTCCCTCTGACCCATACCCCAGACCCTCACTGGGGGGTTCTAGGCAGGGGCTCCACTCCTGGCCACACTCCCAGCCCCTCCTGGGGGATTCTGGGTGGGGTCTCTACCCCTTTTTACTTAAACCCATGATCCTCCTGCCTCAACTTTCGGATTGCCAAAATGATGGGTCTGTACCACCGTGCCTGGCCTGATGACTAATTGCTGGAGTTTAGGCACACTAGCACGTGCATGGCGAGTGTCTGAGTGCATGGCAAGCGCTGGTGGGTGGGTCTGTGCTCAGCTCTGGGTGAGTGATAAGCCTCGATGAGTCCCAGGATGTGCCACCCAGCTGTGGGCTTCCATGCACACCCACACAGGCAGTGTTTGCACTCACAGTAGCCTCCCTTCCACCTCTATGGTGGTCACTAATGTTAAACAATGGCGCTCAGAAACATCCCCACATTCCTGTTCAACTGACAGAAATGTGTTCCCAGCTCTCCCCTAACTCAGAGCTAATCTAAATGACTCCCAGGATAAGAGGGGATGGGTCACAGTCACCAACATGTTCTGGGCCACACACAGGAAGATGCCTGTCACTCGTCACCTCAGCCAGACTGTGGCAAGCAGCACTGTCAATGTTCAACCCCTGCCCAGCATGGACAAACCTCCTTCCCATTTTCTTACCCAGTTTGTGTGATTAGAGAATCCAGCTTGCGCCCAGGACGTGACCCACCCAACCCTCAGGCTGCACCTGGTACACTCTTCTTCCGGTCCCCCTTCACCAAACCTTTTTTAAATCTTTTACCTTTTTTTTTTTTTTGGTTTTTCCAGACAGGGGTTCTCTGTGTAGCTTTGGAGCCTGTCCTGGAACTAGCTCTATAAACCAGGCTGGTCTCGAACTCACAGAGATCCGCCTGCCTCTGCCTCCCGAGTGCTGGGATTAAAGGCGTGCGCCACTACACTAAATTAAGACTTCATTTTCTAATTTTAAATGATGTGTACTGGTAGGGAAGGATTTGTGCACTGTGGGTGTAGGGCCCACATAGTCCAGAAGACAGCGTCAGATACCCCTGGAGGCAGAGTTATAG